ACATGTGCTGGTTGTATGTTTGTATAAGAATTATGATTATATTCCCAATTAAAATCTATAGTTTAACAACTTGGTTAAAATCCAAATAAAAATTCCAAGATTTTAATTTGGTTGAGAGATGCTTCATAAAGTTTATATAGAAGTCTGCAGGACCAACAAAAATCAGGGTTCTATTTTTTTTTTTTTTTTTTGGTGCTGGGTATTGAACTCAGGTCCTAGCCCTTGCAGGGAAGGTGGCAGAACCACTGAGCCAAATTTCCAGCCCCTCAGAGTTCTCTTGAAGAAGAGCAAAATGGGAGAACTGGCCACTTCAGAAATCAACACCTCTCAGAAAGCTAAAGCAGTGAATACATAGTGGGACTACAGAGGGAAGATGAGGGAACAAACTGGAAACTCCATTCACCTAAGAGTATCAATACAGAGGGCCAGTGACTTAGCTAGGTGGTTCCACTGCCTGCCTCGCAAGCTCAAGGTCCCAAGTTTGATCCCTGTATCAAAAAAAAAAAAAAAAAAGTACCATTAGGAGGCTGGAGTGGGAGCTCTTTTTAGTAAGGGCTGCTAGGACAACTGTGTGGCCATATGGAAAAAAATACAACTGGGCCTTTACAACATGCGCACGTGCACGCACACACACACATGTGCATATGCACACACGTCATCCAGATGGGGAATGGCTCAGCATAAAAGACAAAACTTTACAGTTTTAAAAAGATAAAGATTCATGTGAGGATAAAAGGATTTCTTAAGACAGAAGAAGCTCCAATTTAAAGAAAAAGATCAACAAATTAGACTCCTTTCAAATTTAAAACTTTAGATCATAAAACGATGCCACAGATCATGTGAACTGAGACATAGCTCAGTGATAAAAGAAAGCACTTGCTCAGCACGCATGAGGCCCTGGGTTCAATCCCTAGTCTTAGGAGTGCGGGAGAGGATGTCAAAAAATCCCTTAGAGTAGGGGAAGATACCTGCATTTTTAAATAAATTTGAGAATCAGTATGTCTGTGCTTGCAAAAAGGCCTATGGAGATTTTTATAAGCACCTGTGTTTGGTCTTTATGTCAATTTGGGGAGAATTTCCATGATAATAGTGAGCCTCACAATTAATGAACATAAAATACCTATTTACTTAACTTACCTTTAGTTTCTCTTAGCAATGTTTTGTGGTTTTCAATGTATAAATCTTGTATTTCTTTTGTTACATTTATTCCTAAATATTTTATTCTTTTTATTCCATTATGGGTAGAACTTTAAAAAATTTTATCTTGCATTGTTTTTTGCTATGTTGTACGGATAATATATATTAAAATGCAACCAATTTTTGTAGACTTGTTTTGAAATTTTACTGAACTTATTTAACATTTCTAGTATTTTTTGGTGAATTTCTTAGGGTGTTTCATGTTACCTATAACAAAAAGATAGTTTTAATTCTTCCTTTCCAGCATGATATCTTTAATTTCTTTCTTTATTAAATGGAGTCAAATTTTTCTTTGGGGAAAGATACAAAAGATAAGAGGAAAAAGTTCCCAACAAAATGGCAGAATTTCTCCTCATTCAACTTAAAGCAAAGCGCTATGTTCCAGGCCCCTTAATACACCCCAGCTTCTGGTGAGCTTTTCCCACAAGGGATGTGGTCGGAAGGCTGAAGGAACTCCTCGACACAAAAGACAACAATCTAGAGGAACTATAAAGTAACACAAGCAATGAAAGGAACTGAATAAAACTTCTTTAAAACAGCCAAGTAAAATTATTATCCTCAAAGAAATAAGAATGTTATATCTATGTTAAGAGAGCAGTGCCAAACATTTTTGTGCCAGAGAGCCAACATTTCTGACAATTAGAGGTAGGATGGCTGAAATTTTTTTTTAAATTGGGAAAAGTTTTCAATTAGCAATAATCGCACCTCGGATAAACCCCATTGGCTATGATACTGCCACTGCGCAAAGCTTGAAATTTTTAAAAAAATTAAACAAAAAACTTAGAAAGACAGTTGAGGGCAGCTCCTAGAAAGCAGATCAAAAAGCCAAGGTTGGGGCCAGGGATGTATCTCAGTATTTCCACCACCTGCCTCACAAGTGCAAGGTCCCAAGTTTGATCCCCAGTACAACAACAACAACAACAACAAAGCCAAGGTTGGACAGACAACTAAGAAAATTTGAATTGAACGCTAACAGCAGCTATAGAAAGATGAGAGGGAAGAAAATGATGTGGATTTTCTGCAGCTGAAGGACATGTGTTCTAATCACAGGGTCCTGACCTCCTGGTGCAGGTGAGAAAGCATTCCTATCAAGGACACAGCACCAGACAATTTCAGAGGTGCCATGGGTTTAAGGAGAGAATTCTGTAGCTTCTGTAGCTTCTGGAGCTGTGGGTGGAGAAACAGGGCACACAAAAGATCCAGAAGGAGAGTCGGGTGTGGTGTCACATGCCTGTAATCCCAGCACTTGTGAGGCTGAGGCAGGAGGATCGCTGTGAGTTCCAGATCAGTCTCAAACTACATAGTGAGACCCTGTCTCAAAGAACAACAACAACAAAAAAAAAAAAGATCCAGAAGGAGAATGCTAACACACTTCTCAACCGTGGCTCTGGGAAGTTAGAAGACAAGCCAGAAATGCTTTCAAATTCCTCACAGAAAATTTTGCCTAACCTATAATTTCATACACTGTTACAATATCAAGTGTAAAGCTGGAATGAGGACAGTTCACATGCACAAGGTCTCATAAATTTTAATTGGCCTCCGTCCTTTCTATTTTCCAGGAAGCTACCAGAGAACCTGTCCTGAAAATGAGAAATATGATTCAAGGTTAGGGAGGACATGGGAGGGTGTGATTCTGAAAGAGGAGAGGGGTCTTCAGGCAATGATGAAGGGGTCTGGACATGGGGATCTTGCTGCAGGGAGCGCAGTTTGGGTGGAGACAGGAGGAGACATGGTGCTCCACGGTGTCCCCTCAAAAGGTAAATGGAATTCTCAATGTTTTCAACTTAGAAAACTAAGCAGAAAAAAAAAAAAAGTAAACGTATAGGAAGTGTAACAAAATCAAAATCACAGGTTGCTGCCTGGGCCCTGGGTGCACAATACTCAGTGACAATGGTGCAAATAAGCAGTATTCGGTTCATGAACTCAGTTCTCTACACGATTCTCATTGAAAACTGAACTGGGCAAGGACCAAATCAAATCTCCCCATAAGGTTACCTTTAAGCCTAACCATTGAATTTGTTTGGCTCTTTTCCAGCTTGGTTTGCAACTCAGACCATGGAAAGAGCCAAGCTCATGAACCGAGGCACCACAGAATAAATGTGTTTAACCCAAGACGAGTGGAGTCAGAGCACTGGATGAAATGTTCTCCTTTTACCCCTAGATCCAGTCTCCCCCTCTCACCAGGCCCAAAGGTGCCCACGTGCTGCCCCCCTGTTGGACTCTGGCTGGGTTTGGTACTTAGGAGCCACAAAAAATAAAGGGAGTCGGGACATTTGCTTCCCAGCTCCCTGGCTTGGGAGTGGACAGTGTCTGGGTAAATTATCCTTTTCTAATGCTCCTCGGGTACCTCTTTTGGGTGTGGTATTTGTTCCTTCCAGCACCGTGGCCAATACAATGTAGGGGGAGACTGGGAACAGGGAGAGGAAAGTCCTGCAAGGGCGAGGGAGACGCTGTGTGCAGACAGCCAAGCTAACATTGGAAAGGAAGAAAAGGAGCTTAAGCGTATTTGTGACAATATAGAGTAAAGTCCAGAAGAATCAGGTGGAGGAGTTGCAAGCCCAGATGAGAACATTTGCTACTGGGGACCCAAATCAAGGGATGAGAGGTCATGACAAGGAGCTGCTGTTTTCTGTCAGAGCCTGTGGTTAAGAAGTAAGGTCAATTTCCTATGTTTTAAACATGAAATCCAAGCAACACAAATCTGTGTTGTGTGGAACCAGACAGTGAATGACCTTCCCAGGACAACCTCACAGCTGCTGTTTTTCCTTTGCTGGACAGACAAGCCAGGGCAATGTCACTTCATGTCATGTGGGGGATTTACCTAATTCATACTTGTGGGATCCTGGGTCCGATCCTGGGGTTGCTAAGGGCGATGCCAGTATGTGGGTCAGGAGTAGCTTATGAGTCCCGAGGGGGGAATAAAGCAGAGAACACCCTGGAAAACGACAGAGGGCCTTCCACGACTGGGGGCACCGTGTGTCCACCATGGCAAAGCCGTATTTACTTCCTAACTTTCAGTTTTCGATTTCTGGCCATGTGCAGAGGAGCACTGCAGCCCTTCTGGAAAGTTCCACATGGTGGTGCCACATGGGTGCCAACTCTGCAAAGCAAGGCTCCAGGGAAGTAGGAAAAATGTAGCAAGGTCGTTTCCCTGGGCACCCTAGCTGGAAAGATCTCTACGTCCTTTTGGATGTAGCTCAGTGCCTGGGGGCTCTGCTGAAGTGCAGAATGAGGATGCACAGCACTGTGTCACCGAGGTAAAGCCCCACTTCCTGCACATTACTGAGAAAACGCACTCTCTAAGGGAGGAGGAACAGGCACAATCACTCGCCCACCACATCAGGGAAACATCAGGACAGCCTCGGGACCTTGTCAGCACTGGGGCCAGCCTGGTCTTGACTTTGTGGATCCAAAGACTCCAACGACTCTGAGAATTCACTGGCTAAGGTGATGTGATTCCTGCCATCAACATGCTAAGCTCTGTTTAGTTTTAAGTCTAACCTGATGCTTAGAGGGAGAAGAGGCCTTTCATAACCCCTTCTGGGGGAACTGGAGAGCCCTCGTTTATAGATTTCTTGTTTTAGTCCTAGTGGGAAGTAGGCAGTACAGCTGATACCAGTGGAGGGGAGATGGGAGGTGCTGCCTGCCCTGTGGGGGCCTAGCTCTCTGTGTTCTTAACTAAAGTCTCAAGTCCCAAGGTCCTCAAAACCAACAGGGAGGGTGTGAGGGGTGTATGTGGAGAAAACAGGTCACAGTGTGACCAGAGCCACACTGCGCTGCCCAGCCAGCTGTGTGCCACGTACCAGCCTGCGGATCTCTCGCTCGCACTCCCTCTTGATTCGGCTGATCTCCTCCTGGTGCAGGTGGTACACGCTCCTGATTTCTGCAGCCTTGATCTTGTCTGCCTGGATCACCTGTGTCAGCGCCTCCTCCACCTGCTTTTTGGCCCCCTTGAGCTCTGAGATCTCTTGCTGCATTTTGACCTTCTCCACCTCGAACCCCTTCTTGGCCTCCTCCTTGGCCTCACACAGAAGCACTGTCTTGACCTTTTCAGGTGCGCCATCCCGCAAGGTGTTGAGCAGCGCCTGTAGCCGCTGGTTCTCATTGTCCTTGATCTTGATGACTCTTAGAAGCTCGGCTTCGTGCTGCCGCAGCAGTGCCTCACGCACAGCCTGCAACTCCTTCATCTTCTCCTCATGCAGCTTGGTCTTGAGCTCCGTGACCAGGACCGCGTGCTTGCGCTGCTCGTGTTCACGCACCTGCTTCAGCTCTTGGATCTTCTCCCGCTCCAGTCTGCTGACCTGAAATACAACAGAGGCTGTGGTCACCAGAGCCCTGAATGCCTGCACCCACTGAATCTGAATATATTCAAACAAATTTAGAGAACTTGTTTTTTGCAAACCTAGGAGCTATCATCCATTCTGGAATGTGCCTTAAAATGTCAATTAAACCCAAACCCAAACCCACGTGGTAGAGATATGGATATGCACCGTAGACTCTACAGCATGCATGGCTGGCACTGCAACAGGAAAGTTAGGTTGTGGATATGCTCATCTTACAGAAGTTTGCTCTGGGCCTATCTAGGAGCAGCCATGCAGGAAAGTGAAACCACAGCCCCAGGAAGCTAGTGGGGCCTTCTCCACCTGCACAGTCCCATGGAAAACAGAATGAGGGCACGTGACACACTGACAGTGTGGGCACGTGTGCAGGGATATTCGAACGAGCTCTGCTCACTCCCACCAGCCTCTGTTTCCTCACCCAGATAGTGGGGTGCTGTGCTTACCTTCTCTGACACCCTTGGCAAATGGGGAACTATCTTACCTGCCAAGCTGTCTCTCTAGATGACGTCTAATCTCCAGGTTTTGGAAATAAAGACTGTGGAATGGATATTTCCCTTTCATTCAGGCGCGTAAACCTCTGGCTAAGTGGTTACACCACTACAATCTGCAGGCCTCAGGTGCTCTGGATGAAAGAACAGCTACAATCCAGAAATGCTCCAATCTTCCCTGCAGCTAGAGAATCAGAAGGACCTCCCTGCAGCCAGCGGAGGTTGCTCTCACTGCCTTCACCCCTCTAAGGTTCCCACCCTGCTGGGTAGGGAAGCTCACACAGGTCTGTGGTGGTCTCCTGTCCCCTTGGAAGCACTGGAACATGGCACTGACCCCCTTCGTGAGACTCACAGGTTCCAGCCTTGCCTGGCTGCTCTTGTCTTAAGGACTGCTTGCCCTGGCTTCCAGGCCTCTAAGTTTTGGAGGGAACCCTGGCATTTCCCCTTTTGCCTGTGCTCTCTTCTGAGGATCCAGGTTTACCCTATCCTACTGATCCCCCAAATCAGCTCTGGTTGGGCCCCTCTCTAAACCACCAGCCTACTTGGTGATGAGGAGAGCCATGCCCCATTTTCCCCCAAGGTAGGTCTGAGGCCAGCTTCATTCCCAGAAGCCGCCCCTCATTCTCAGGCCTTCTTGGGTTCAGCCAGTAATTAGCCCAGCAGCACACAGGAGAAGTGTAGCTGCCCCTAGCATCTCACTGACAGGCCCAGGAGAGTTGTCTATGGCTCAGCCTCTGAGGGGAGGTGACTATCTCTCAAGTCTGGATGGACGTCGGCTCCCTGCCCTGGCTTGCTCCCCAGGCTGCCCCCAACCTTTACAGAAGGTTGGCATGGCCTTCCTGGCTCCTTCTATAGGTAGCAAATGTGTGAACCTTTCTCAGACATGCCTCAGGGCCACCTGCTTCTTGCCAGGACACTGAAAAACAGCCACCTAGAGACCTCTCACACTTAACCTGCCCATCTCCATGGTCTCCCATCAGGTGGTACCTTGCTAGGGCCGTTATTCTGGGCTCCTACCCCAAAACATCAGCAAATCTGCCAACTCCACCTCCACCCAGACCCCAAGTCTGGAACCTCTCTGCTGCCTGCTCCAGGGCCATGTGATTTCCTAGCTCACCTCTCCTCTCTACTATCTTCAGCCCCTCTACTACACCTCTGGTACATTTAAAATAAAAGGAAAGTCGGCCAGGGATTTAGCTCAGTGGTTCTGCCACCTGCCTTGCAAGCGCAAGGACTGGAGTTCGATCCTCAGTACCAAAAGAAAAGAAAAAAAAATCTCTATGTAGAAGTTTCTTGCTAACCAGATCTAAAATAGTAACTGGCATCTACATAAAATAAAAGGAAAGTCCCCTCAAGGCCTCACCTGCATGACCTCCTGCCACTCAGACCTATCTGAAGAGAATACAGTGTAGCTTTGGGTCTTTGTTCAAAGTCCCAATCATGACCCACCACTTTCATAAGTGGTACTCTGCCCTCTTCCTCCAACAGGGGCACAAAATCTGGCCCACAAATCCTGGGCCCACTCCTGTCTGTCACCCTCCTCAAGGCCCCTCCCCAGCCCTACCCATCTGCTTCTGTTCCTACTGCCTGATGCTGTCCTGCAAAATTTGGCTGGGACCTCTTCAGTTTCCTGGTGTTGTCTCGTTCACAGCCCAGCCTTGTCCCCCCACTACTGGGACTGCTAGTCACTAAGACAAACATGGCACATGTATCCCAGCACTTTAGTTTCTATACTCTGTATTAGTCAGCTTTCCATTACTATAACAAATTACCCAAGGTAAATCATCTTACAAGAGAAAAGATTTATTTTGGTTCACTGTTTTGGAGGTCTCAGTCTATGATCAGCTGACCCCATTGCTTCTGGCACAAAGCGAGGAAAGCATAAAATGACAGGGCATGTGGAGGAGCAAAGCCCTTCATTTCAAGACTGGGACTTGAAGGACTTAATAAAGGGAGGAACTGCGGCCACAAAGACCCTTTATAATGCCTGCCCCCACTGACTAGAAGACCTCTTACTAAGCTCTGTCTCTTAAAGGTTCCACCACCTCCCAGTAGGGCCATGGGTTGGGGACTAAGCCTTCAAAACATGGGTATTTGGGAGATGTTTAAGACCAGACTACAGCATGTTTCCTGAGTGTGCTTGGTTTATCTCTGACTGTTCTGTCTCCCTCTCCCACCAGAGGCCAGTTTCCTCAGGGTGGTGGCAGTAGTGTATCAGCCTGGTTTGGTGCTATTTCCCCCTCAGGACATACATGTGACACTGATTCAGAGTAGGCGAGCAGTCCTATTGTTCTGTGGGGTTCAACCCTGAGACCCCACCACAGGAGTCTCCTAAGGACCCTGCAATACTTGGAGAATCCCACCCAGATGTCTCTCTCTCCTCTCTCCCTCCCCTCTCTCTCCCTCTCTCTCTCTCTCTCTCTCTCTCTCTCTCTCTCCTCTCTCTCCCTCCCCTCTCCGCGC